GACCTGAGCCCATAGGGGCAAGAATTGCAACATGGTTCTGGAAAGTGATTCCCCCAAGGCTGACAGGAGTTAGGGCCCCAGATGTAAACAAGCCAGCCTTTTCCCAGCCAACAGGCTTGGCAAGAACAGCCCTAGTACCACCCAGTTCTGAGGCTCTGAGAACCCCTCCTCAGTGGTAGAGGAAGGAGAGCAGTTTAACCTCTGGCGTACTAGAGGGGAGCCAAGCAAGGTGCTGCAGTCCCAGGCTGCTCTTCTGGAGCTGCAGGCTTGCCCTGACCTGTGCGGGCTGATGCCACAGCCAGTGCCCGGGGGAGGCCTGCTGTGGCCTGTGCCTAAGTATGCAGGAAACTCCCTTTGCCCCCAGCCTCACCTGTAGGATAAACACACACACCCCAGGCTTATGACCCCTGGTGGGGGAACAGCTGTTTCAGGACTTGGGGAAGAATGGGAGTGCCCTAATCCTAGAGCTGGAAAGCAGGAGGACTGAGGCCAGGCCCCCTCTACCCTCAGAGAGCAAAACTGAGGGGAATTCTCCTAGCGCAGGATGACAGAAGGGAGGGCTGCAGAAAGGTGGGGAGAATCCATATCCAGGAGCTCAGGGATAAACCCCTCTCCCATAAGTCCTTGAAGAAGGTAGGCAGGTCTAAATATTCACACCCACAACCTCCATACCATACCCTATAGAGAAAAATGAAGGCTCTTAGTCAAGTAAGGGACTTCCCGGGAGTCAAGAGAGCCACAAGCACTGGAAAGGAAGTGTGCCCATCCCTCTCTTCCTCCCAGGCCTAGGCAAGTTTCTTCCCTTACAGAGACTATGAGGTCGAAACCACAGAAGAGAGGACTCTTGTGTCTGCGGCTGGGTGGGAGGAAGGGCCCAGCGCCAGACGGGTTGAGGGGAGGGCAGGGCTGTCCTGGAGCTGGTGCAGGACTCTGGAGGCCTGGTGGGAGGGACCCAGCTGCCTGAGGCCTGCACCACCCCAGCTTTCCTTCCAGATTGGCCTGGAGAAGGAGCAACTATGTTGGGTCAAAGAACTCAGTTGGCTGGCCTGGTCTTGATGAGTGAGAGATGCAAGGTATTCCCCTAGGGGAAAGTCAAGGAACACCTCCTACCTGGCTTAGGAGTCCTGAACAGGGTTGGGGGATCTCCAGCTCTCCAGCAGGCCCTGGATCCTATCCTTTGGGCCTGTTCCTCCCCCCCTCTGGCTCCCACCCTCACATGGCCCAGAAGCAAATGGTGGTTCTGGCACTGGGACCGCCCATGACCCACTTAAAACAGAGCCAGGGCTGCCGCCCCTCCCCTAGGGGGCCTGGCAGGGCAGGGGAGGGAAAAAAGGCAGGGCAGTGAAGTTGGCAGTGGGCAGCCTCCCAGATGCCCAGGCTCCTTTTGTTAGGGGCTCTCTCCCTTTCAGGCCTCAGATGAAGACTCCAGGCCTGGGAAGAGGATGACTTCTTCTCCCTGACAGTCGGGCTTAGCCCCCAGCCCCAGGGCAGACCACCACGATGGGTCTCCCACCTCCAATGCCAGAGCCATAATTTCCCGTTCAGCCCCAGATCCTTTCAGGGACAGAGAGAGCGCATTCTGTCTAGAGAGGTTTTCTCCCCGGATGGGCCAGGCCTGGGACCAGAGCAGAGGAAGCCAAATCCAGATCCCATCCCCCATCTTGGACCCTTCCCTGCCCCTCCCGACCGCACCCGGGCCCTTGCCCGGCTGAGTGGGTTGGGATGGCCCAAAATAAGAAGCTCATTAAATCCGTCTCCCACTTTCACCCCAAAATAAAAGACAGAGAGGAAAAACCTCCTCAGACAACTCCCACGCGGCTTCCTCTTGGGCCCGGTGGGCCACTGTCAGGGAAGGGGTGGGGGTGGGGGCCGCCCGAGTCAGTCGCGACGTGTGAGGGCGCCCTGGGCTAGGCCCTCTCCCCACTCCCCGTGCGACGCTCCCCGACTCCCAGCAATTAATACAAAAAAGCAATTAACAACAAGAAAGGCCTGAGGGCGCCGACGGAGGTGGGACGGGGATGGGGGGGCGGCGGCCAGGCCGAGCCCCCGGCTCACAAGGAGAGCTTTGTGTGTACGGAAACACGGCGAGCGCGCTGGCGCTGCGACCCTAGACGCCGGGGCCCCAGGCTGAGACACGGGAGAGTCCTCTCGGGGACGAGGGCTGGGGGCCCGGGCCGCTCGGCCGTCCACCCTCTACCCCACCTGGCCGCAGACGCATCGGTGGAGGGCCTGGGCCGCCCGGGGAGGCCGAGGCGTGGGGGCTCCGGGCAGCCAAAGCGCCCAGCGGAGGGCGCGCTGAGCCCGGCTCGCCGCGAGCGCAGGCGGGAGAGCGCTGGAGAGCCGAGAAGTTGAAGAAACAACAAACTCTTGCACATGACAAGGAACCAGGACAGCACGGGGTTTGAGCCGAGTCCAAATGTTTATCAGGCTCCCAACTGGTCCCAGAGCTGAGCGCAGAGCCCAGGGGAATTGGGGAGGGGGTCGGTCCCAGCTGTAAAGTTCTTCCAAGGAAAGGAAGGAATGGGAAAGAGAGTCGGCGGCGATAAGGGTCGCGCGCGGGAGTTGGTTGGAGGCAGGCAAAAGTTGGATCGATTTGGAAGTTTGGAGAAGAGGAGGGAAAAGAAGGGGAGGGGGATCCTGCAGGCCGGAGCAGCTGAGATCCCTCCTCTCCGAATGGGGGTTGTGCCCTGGGAGACCCCTGGGCTCGCCTCCCCGGCGGGCGCGACTCCGGGAAAGGCCGGAGGAGCTCACTTACTTCGGGGCTGAAGCTGCTGCTTTGGGCCGAGCCGAGGGAGGCGAGTGCGGTGCCGAGCGTGAGCAGGGGGAGCAGGAGACTGCGGGAGGGTCGCGGGGCGGGAGACATGGTTTGCGACCGTCGGGGCGGCGGGGCCGTGCGGGCTCCGCGGCGGGGCCCACGCCCTGGGGTCGCGCCGCCACTCCCTCGGGGCGCCTTTGTCTTCTGTAGGCACTGATTTTGGATTCCTAGAGCGCAGTCTTCTTGGAGTTGAGAGGATTGTTCTTGAAAGTGCCTGTTTGCTCTTCTCCTCTTTTCCGTTTTTTGATCTTTCTTCTGCTTAGTCGGCGAACTGGGTCGGGATCCGTCTCTCGCTCTCTTCTTTGGTCCCTCCCTTCTCCCACAGCCTCTCCTCCGCCCCCGCCTCCTTTCCTGGTTGGGGACGTGGTTGTTTCAGCCTGAATCCAATTACAGCCAAGAGCTGGAGGAGAAAAAAAACAAAAAAAACCCCAGAAAACCCCTAAGTTGCCGTTCTGTGGAGCAGGCTGCCCTCTGCAGGGGTTGAAGCCACAGCCGACAGCAGGGTACTGTAGGGGGATCCAGGGGTCGGGATGTGGGAGACTTTCCCCACCTAAGCATATTTTGGGTGGCTTGATTCCTCTGGTATTCAGCATTTGTCTCACCTCAGAGAGGGAAGTACTGGGAGGCTCAGTGGCTAGGGCCAACAAGCTCAGGGTCTGGCATGGTGGTGGTGGTGGTGTCTTCCATGTCCATGAGACCTGGATTGGGAGAAGGGGCCAGTTTACTAGAAGCTGGGGGGATTATCTGCTGGGACTTGTAGACAACCACCTCTGTCCTTCCCTCTCCTGCCAAAAAATCCAAACTGTAACAAACCCCACAACCACACTGGATCTGGGGGTCCATCTTTGTAGAAAGACTAATTGCTCCCTTTTATAATTGTCCTTTGTAATCTGGCTATTCCTTAAATTAGAATTGGCTGGGCAGGAAAGGGGTGCAAGGCCATGGAATCTGGGGAAGAGCAAATCAAGTTTGGTGAAATTGTTGGAAAAGAAGGGACTGGGAGTTAGGACTTTGAGATTTAGTTCCATCTCTACACTAGAAATGGAGGCAATTCCTTAAAGAGTAAAATCTACCCCTTCAGGGATTTACTTGACTCTGAGAACAAAAGGTGGGGGTATGCAGGGAAGGGGGAGGGCAGGCAGTGAGAAAGGGAGACAGATAAGAGGTTAAGAACCAGATCTGGGGAAACAGCACAACAGAAGCAGGAAAACTGTGGGAGACAAAAAACTCAACCATCAGCGAAATCTAAGATTCAAGAATTGCATTTGGTCAGTGAGAGAGGAAGGAGGTAGTAGGGGGAGGGAGGGAGGGGAGGAAAGCAAGGGAAGGAATAAAGGAGGGTGGACAGAAATTAGGTCAGGTAGGAAACTTCAGGAAGTCAAGGGATTGGGGAACTAGGGAACTATCCCACTCTGTATTAGAATGAGAACAAAGGCCCTTTGCCCCTGGAATTCATGGGAGGAGCCATGATCAATAAAATGAAAGGCTTTCCAAGTCCTGGGCAGCTTTCAGGTTTGTGGGAGGTATATGGTAGGTATTAGATATCTATCCTACAATGACTGTTTGAGGACTGAGCCCTTGTGTAGGGCTCCCCTGCACAAATGGTTGGGGAAATATAGGTTCCTCTTCAGCCAAACTCTGGAATGCAGTTGGAACCATGGAGACTTCATAACCCACCTCTTTCAGCAGAACATGGCAACACCCACATCTGGTTCTTCCCACTGGAGATATCCTCCGGGACCACATATCCAAACCTTAGGAAAACCGACACCAGTTGCTTGCCAAGAAAAAGACATCAGCTAGAAAGCCTTTTTCATCAAAACATTTATTAGATGCCAACTGCACATGGCCTGGGCTGTGTATGGGCTGTTAAAGGCTTGAATGCCTGGCTAAAACCAGAAAAACTGCTATCCCCTTGTCATGTTTGCAGAGCACCTATTGCTCATAGTTGGGCCAGTACTATGGCCTGCAAAGAAGGAAGTAAAAAAGCCTAGAGCAAGATTCAGCTGAACTGGAATGGAGGCACGAGTGAGGGCACTGAGCCAAGCCTTCCAGGCAGTGATCTTACAGCCTGTTCTTCCTGGTGTCCAGGATCTATTGTCCTGAAGACAGATGGGGAACATAAAGGCTCTCTTCTGGCTGGGATGAGGCATCTAGGTGATAGAAAAGAAAGCTAGGGAGAGGCTGGGAAAAGGTGGCAAGAGTTGCTTTTTATTGACTTGGAAGTGGGCTCCTCAGTGAAGCCCCTTTGGGTTTAAGAGCATTTTTCTGCTTCCTTTCTTCTTCCTGCAACTTCTCCTCCTGCCTGAGCTGCCATGCCTGTAATCCAGCATCCATTTCCTGTGACAGCAGTACAACTCGTCTCTGAAACAGACAGGAAAACAGTGTGGATAACATCTGGGGCTTAAGTGCTACATCATATATTCTTTTACTCACAAAGTCAGAGGTTTGGGTTTCAGCTGGAAAATGACACTGTTGACTGGGGGAAAGGTGGGACCAAGTCCTGGTTTGGGAAGCAGCAAAATGTGAGGCAGAATGTCTACTACTGGTTCCTGCCCTAGGAGTGCCTCACTCTCTTCCTCTCTTCTCACAGGGCTATTAAAACCTTTGGCTGAAGCCAGGCACGGTGGCTCATGCCTGCAATCCGAGCAATTGGGAGGCTGAGGTAGAAAGGTTGCTTGAGGCCAGGAGATCAAGACCAGCCTGAGCAGCATAGTGAGACCTCGCCTCTACAAAAAATAAAAAAATTAGCAGGGTGTGGTGGTGTGCACCTGTAGTCCCAGCTACTCAGGAGGCTGAGGCAGGAGGATGACTTAAGCCTGGGAGTTTGAGGTTGCAGTGAGCTATGATGATGCCACTATACTCTAGTCAGGGCAACAGAGCGAGTTTTTTCCTGTCTCAAGGAAAAAACAAAGACCAAAAAAGAAAAACAAAAACCAAAAAGCAAGCAAAGAAAAAACCTTTGGCTGTTAAAACCCTGGTATGAGGGGTACATGTTAGCTTAGGTGCAACACAGTTCAAGATAAGTTACGATTTGAATTTTCTCCCTCCAATTACACACAGGTAGCCCTGGCTGGGGAACTAGCGACTTACTGCAAACTTCTCCCTTTCAGCTTGTCTCCGAAGCTGGCCTTTCATGGGGGGAGCAGGGCGACCATCTACAGATAGCAGTGAGAGAAGAGGCAAGTGTTAAGAGATGTTCTGCAGCACCTTGTCTAAAATTGTGATAGGAATGAGGAAGAACCAATCTCTACCTCCTCTCTTCCATTTCATACCCACTATGGCTTAATATCCCAAAACGTGTCCCTCATCTTCAAGAGTGAGGTATGGCAGACCCACCAAGAATAAGCTCCTAGGAATGTTCTTACTCTATTTCACTTAACTCTTACTAGCTCAGAATTCAAAGTCCTCTGTGTACTGACTCGACTTTCATTTTCGGAAACCCTTCAACTCAAGCAATGTGATCATTGTTCTACTCACTATAAGTCTTTGCTAAATTCTGTCCTACTCCACAATGAAATGCCTTCTTTTCCTTTCCTTCCAGCCAAATCCTCATCCTTAGGCCCACTCAGGCCTAAGTTTTGCAGAAATCCTTGTCTAACCTCTTCACTCCATCAGCTCTCTCTTCTGAAGGAAGTGTATACCATTCAATATTCATCTATTTGCTCTGCAACATTTACCATATTATTGTTTTTAGTGTTATTTAGGCATCCCAGATCCTTTTGGAATGGGGCAGAGTACTGAAATATTATTATATAATTTAAAAAATGTCTATGCTTTAAAATGTGCATGTTTTCCCAGCCAAACTTCAAGTTCCTTGGGATCAGGGACTATATCGCTAGCTCTTGCTGTTCATAGTATAGTGTAGGCACAGAAACATGCAATAAAATTCATAAATATCTGCTGACTTGCTGAAAAGATGTGGTATCTGACCTTAAGTAGTTTATATGGAGATGAGGAGAAAGGGCACTTACTTTCTACAAAGAAAGAAAGAAAGAGTGAAAACTCTACCCAAAAGTTTGAAAACAAGACAGATAAGAGGTATTATTTATCAGGAAATGGAAACAATATTGTGTATGCCAGGTGCTTTACATTGGTTGTCTTTATCCTTATATGAACCATATGAGACAGGTGTTCTTCATTTACAGATGTGGAAACTAAGAATCAGATAAAATTAAGTAACTTGTCTAAGACCACAAAGTTAGCTTGGATTAACAATCAGGTACAGGCTGGGCGCCGTGGCTCATGCCTATAATCCTAGCACTCTGGGAGGCCAAGGCAGGAGGATCCCTTGAGCTCAGGAGTCCAACCCCATTTCTGCTAAAAACAGAAAAATTAGCTGGGCATCGTGGTGGGTGCCTGTAGTCCCAGCTATTCGGCAGGCTGAGGCAGAAGGATCACTTGAGCCCAGCAGTTTGAGGTTGCTGTGAGCTAGGCTGATGCCACGGCACTCTAGCCTGGGCAACAGAGTGAGACTCTATGTCAAAAAAAAAAGAATCAGGTACATATAATTCCAGTCTTTCCAATATTTCATACTACTACAAGGAGATCCTAGGGCTTCCTACAATAAATGACAAGTAGAAAAAATCTTCATCATTGTCCTCAGGCACCAATTATCCAATCAAGCAGGATCATTCTCCTAGAGCAGCGGCCCCCAATCTTTTTGGCGCCAGGAACTGGTTTCATGGAAGACAATTTTTGCTCAGATGGCGGGGGCCCTCAGGTGGTGATGTGCATCGGTGTTCCTAACAGGCCACTGACTAGACCAGTACCAGGCTGCGGCTCAGGGGTTGAGGACCAAAGTCCTAGAGAATACCACTAGGATATTAATACTAAGGTCTCTGTGTTGTGAAGGAGGACAAGCCTCTGCTCAGTTCTAGTCCTGGCTTTGCTACTACCTAGCTATATGATCACAGGAAATTCATTTCTGCAGGCCTCAATTTTCCTACCTATAAACTGGAGTCCCATAAGAGAGTGCTTATGGTCTCTCCCTTCTAAGGCTAATATTTATTAGACTTTTCTGAAGGGAGCCTGCCATCCTCAATCTTCACCCTTCTATACCTCTGAGATGCTCATTTCTACAGCCTTTCAAAGAGCTCCCTGCATTAGGTACCAAATTCTCAAAATGTACTCACCACACAAAGGGGTGGCACTTCCTAACTTTTTAAAAACCATGTTTCTCTTTAAGAAATGTAAAACTCTTGTCACCCCCTCCTACCTCGGGGTGCCCCAAGTCAGAATTATCTGCTACTTATCTCCACAAGCCAAGAAGATCTCCTCAAGGTTTACCTTTCTTACCGGAAGTTTACTTCACAAAATAAACAAGTGGGCTTCTTTCCCCAAACTCCGTTTTCCAAATAAAAAGTTGAATAAGTTTTCCACTCGGACACGCCCCCACCTTGACATTCCCGCCCCCCAGTCCGGGGGAAAATCTGAATTAGAGCTAACTGTCAGATCAGCGCTCACCCGCGTATGACCAGTCTGGGAGTTCCGTAAGGGGCCCATAGCCGGAGGGATTGGCAGCCAGGCCCTGCCTGGGTGGAGAAAAACAGTTCCATGAGGACCTGGCCCAGCTTCTGGTCCCCCAGATCCCCCGATCCCAGCACTCACTTGAGTCGCCACTGGCTGCCCGCCCAAGCCGCCGCGCTGCGGTGCAGCCTCCGGACACCTGCTGGGAAAATGGGGCAGAGTTGGGGGAGAGACCGCGCAGCCGGCCCGGGGTCCCGGGCCCGACCCCCACGAGCTCCCGAGTCCACCGACCCTCACTCACTCACTCGAGAGCACAGTTCCTAAAGCAGCCATGCCGAGGCGGAGTAGACGGAAGTGGGCGTGGCCTCGGTGGCCACGCGCGACACTTTAGGGGAAGCCGGACGCCGCCATCTTGAATCTGCTTTTCAATCATGGGCCACGCCATCTTGGGTCATTGTACGGAAGTCACGGATAAAACTGCGACCCGCGTTCTCGGGGTGAGAACGAACTGTTGTTCTGGGCATACATCTTCAGTGGTGGTTGCATCCTCAGTGGAAATCGTGTCTTCCCAGACCGAACCGTTCGGAACTGTTCCGCAACCTCCCACAGTGTTCTGTAGTCCACTGAAATTGATAGTAACTTTGATCTCAGAGAAGGAACATCCACATTACTTCATTCTGCAGTCTCCCACATAACTGTAACATATTTTTCCCAGACTAAAAGAAGTGATCAAATCTAGAATGAATCAGATATTCTGAGTTTCACATCTCACTCATTTATCCAAGAAAACTGAAGAAATTACATATGACAAGCACTGTATTAGGCACAGGAGATTCTATGGAGAGCAAAAATAGACATCTTCACTATCCTGGTAGAGCTTTCAGTCTAAAAGAGAGAGACTACAATAATCAAATAATCACATACATTACTGAAGTATTACAGCTAAGTGCTGGGAAGGGAAGTATGTGTTGTTTGTGAGCATATAATGGGAATTTGATCTAGAGTGGGCTATCAAACACTACTTTCCTGAGGAAGGGTATTGGAGCTAAGATCTGACTCCATTTTTATATGAGCTACCACCACACATTGCCTAACATAATCCTTGCAATAACCCTGTGAAGCAGGTACTACTAGTAAGTGGCAAATCCTGATCTGTGGCTCCTTCCCTCCTTTTATCACTTGCTATTCAATACTGCCTTAGAGAAGTCATTTATCTTTTAATTTCTTTTTTTTTCTTTTTTGTATATTTTGTAGTGACAGAGTCTCACTATGTTGCCAGGGTGCTCTTGAATTCCTAGCTTCAAGTGGTCTCTTGCCTTGGCCTCCCAAAGTGCTGGGATTACGGGAGCGAGCCACCATGCCTGGCCTAGCCTTAATTTCTTAATTTTTTTTTAA